AAAAAAAAGAATACAATTTAAAAAGAATACCTAAAGGAATATTAACTTTATATATGGAAAATCACATATGAAAAAAATAGAGGTTTTCTTAAAGCAGAGCACAACCTATAAGTGATAAATAATAGGCTTCTGTTGTTGAAAGAAAGAAGAAATTGCCTTGGTTGGATTAGACAAATTATACAAGGGTACTTCAAAAAATTCATGGAAAGATTTGTATTATCTTCGATTCTATTTTTCCATGATCTTTTTGAAGTACACTCTCATAGGAATTGCTTAGTAGAAACAATAATTCCACTTTCCTTCCATTCTGTTTGACCACCCCTGGAATATTGTATTAGATATTATTACCTCAGTTTAAGAGGATCATAAAAATGTTGACATACTCTCAAATTCTAATTCTCCCTATCCCGTTACTAATGCTATCATTTTGTTTATTTCAAAATTAGTTCCATAGAACACTATTTTCCCTGGATACTTTGTGTAAGGGGCTTTCCTAACCAGATAAACCCGGAAAGTTCTGCATACTTAAGGCAAAATACAAATAGGCAAAATAAATTTTTGCATATTAAATTTGATGAAGTTGAGAAGTACTTTAAGAAAAGAAAGATGTTTAATTTAGTTTAAGCCATAACTTTCCAAATTGATTTGACCCCGACTTGATGATTTTTGTAGACATCTGTGATCATCACAGTGAGTGTTACATTGAGGACATTGTAAGAGATGCTGATGTAATGGGTAATGGTTCTTGAGTGATATTCACTCCAAAATTGTAGATGAGGATTTTTTTTTCAATAAGAAGAAAATAAAAGCATCTGTTTATTTTCCCCCTATCCTTTTCTCTATTTTTACTTCATCCATCCACATGGACTATGCATCTTTTCCTTCAAGCACTCCCTCCTTCAGTCCTGTTTTCTCAACATCAACGCTGCTGTTTGTCAAATGAAAAAAACAAGCAGAGTTTCCTCTTGTAACGATAAGCTCATCAATACTACGCTCAGCTCAGTACCAGACACCAGGCTTAGCAGAAGTAACTGGATGTGTTGGAACCTGATGTATGCTTCTCACACTTCCTATGCACCTGTCCAATTGTTATTCTGTGAAAATGCTTGGATAATGTTTACAACATTAAAGCTTCATGATTGCAGATGCAGCTCTGGAGCCCAAGCAATTTTTCATCTAACTCTAGGCTGGATGGACTGCTTTTTCCTAAACAAATGATTCTTTTCTTGTAAGATGTATTTCTGAAACATAATATCACTGGCCTTCATTGGGATATAATCAATGTTTGTGATACATAGTAACATAGATTCTTTACTGAGACGTTTTCTTAATCTGGACTTTCACAAAACTTGTTTTTGTAAGATATTTATTCACATGGGATGACATCCAACTTTGTTTTATTTTCAGGGTACAAAATTCCTTTACATACATTTTCTCACTTAAGCCAACAGAGTTGGTCAGGTCACCTCTGCTATTTGCTCTATTATAGAGGTGACAAGTTAAGATTCATATCTTTGTTTAGCTATGAAGGTGGCAGAACAGAAATCTGAACCCAGGTCTTTTGATTTTCTAACCTTTGGTAAATCACAGGATCGCTTCTGTGAATAATTATTAATAGATTACTTAATGTTCACGTTGTTTTAACTACACAACATTGTAGCAGACATTTTGTTGGGCTTTTTAAAAGAAGTGTTCTATGAATAATTTGGGTCATTTTTTGTTTTGTAAATGTTTAGGGTTGGTGCAAACGTACAGTTCTCTTGTGAGGACAATTATGTGCTCCAGGGAGCCAAGAGCATCACCTGTCAGAGAGTCACAGAGACACTTGCTGCTTGGAGTGACCACCGGCCGTTCTGCCGAGGTAAGGCGCCTGCGGTGGGGTATGTCCGGAATTCTCTCTTTCCTCAGGTTTGGCATGTTTTTCAAAATACACAGTGAGATTTAAGTATAAAGCACTTTCTATAGATAGAACAGAACTTGATAATGATGTATGTTTTCATAGTGATGTGGGTTTTAAAACAGGAATACTTCCTTGAAATTTGTTAGGAGGCAAACATTTCCACGGATATTTGTGGTTTTTTACATTTCAGTAAAGATATGAGTAAATCTAATAATTCAGACTCACACACACACAATATAAATTGATATTCATTTATGCATATACACACAGTGTGCATATGTATGAATATGTATTACATAACCAGAACTTTTGGAAAGTTTTATGTTCACCCCTGCAAATCTAAAACTTCTAACCTTTCAATTTCAGTGAGGTCGAATTTTGGGGCTTTTATTACATGAGTGAGAAAGGAAGTTTGTTAGTATGATCCTAAATTATCATTTTATTAATAAATTATCTTAAACTAATATCTGACAGAATTAGCTGAGAAAAATATGCATCAGCAGCAGCATCTTCAAAGGAAATGTATGAAGTTAGTAAGGGCAAAGTATTTATTTGTCACTTCTATGAAGTATATGAACAATTCTACCAAAATTATAGAAACCACATGAAACCAGCAGAAAACTTATGCTTTTAAATTTTTTAAAATTATTAGCATATTCATTCTTACAAATCATGATATTTCTTTATGCCCTTTGCCCAACCTATCACTTCCCAAACCACCTCCCTCCTCCCCCCATCTCTGGTGTCCTTAGGTTTGTTCTCTCCTTCTGAAAGTTGAGTATTGTTGTGGTCTTTTCTTTCTCTTTCTTTCATTCCTTCCTTCTTTCCCCCACCCCCTTCCTTCCTTCCTAGCAGCCAGTTATGAGTGAGAACATGCAGTATTTCTCTGTCTTTACCTTCTGAAAGTTGAGTATTGTTGTGGTCTTTTCTTTCTCTTTCTTTCATTCCTTCCTTCTTCCCCCACCCCCTTCCTTCCTTCCTAGCAGCCAGTTATGAGTGAGAACATGCAGTATTTCTCTGTCTTTGTCTGACTTATTTCACTTGACATAATTTTCTCCATGTTGTTGCAATGGGAGAATTTCATTCTTTTTCATAGCTGAGTAGTATTCCATTGTGTATATACACCACATTTTCCTTATCCAGTTGTCCATTGATGGTTGGACACTTAGGATGGTTCCATATTTTGGCTATTGTGAATAGAGCCGTGATGAACATGGGAGTGCAGGTATCCCTTCGACATGATGATTTCCATTCCTTTGGGTATATACCCAGTAGTAGGATTGCTGGGTCATATGATAGTTCTATCTGTAGTTGTTTGAGAAAGCTCCATACTGTTTTCCATAATGGCTGTGCTCATTTACAGTCCCACTAACAGTGTAGAAGGGTTCCTCTTTCTCCACATCCTCACCAGCACGTGCTATTCTCGGCCTTTTTAATAATAGTGTCTAACAGGGATGAGATGATATTTCCATGTGGTTTTGATTTGCATTTCTCTGATGACTATTGATGCTGAACTTTTTTCATTTACCTGTTGGACATTTATATGTCTTCCTTTGAAAAATGTCTATTCATCTCCTTTGCCCGTTTTTTATTTGGATTATTTCTTTTTTTTTTTTTTTACTGTATAACTCCTTGTCAGATGTATAGTTTGCAAATATTTTCTCTCATTCTATAGGTTGTCTTTCCACTTCGTTGCTTGTTTCCTTGGCTGTTTAGAAGATCTTTTGTTTGATGTAATCCCATTCATTTAGTTTTTCTTTTGTTCCTTGTGCTTTTGGGGTCTTATTCATAAAGTCTCTGTGCAGTCCTACTTCCTGGAGTTTTTCTCCTACATTTTCCTTTGGTAATTTTATGGTTTCAGGTCATCTATTTAATTTTTTAATCCGTTTTGTATTGATTTTGATATATGGTGAGAGGTACAGGTCCAGCCTGATTTTTCTGCATATGGAGGTCCCATTTTCTCAGCACCATTTATTGAAGAGGCAGTCTTTTCCCCAATGTATGTTCTAGTTGCTTTGTTGAAGATCAGTTGGCTGTAAGTACATGGGTTGATGTCTGGATTTTCTATTCTGTTCCATTGATCCTAGTGTCTGTTTTTATGCCAGTACCATGCTTTTTGGTTACAATAGCCTAGTAATATAATTTGAAGTTGGGTAGTGTTATGCCTCCGGTTTTATGTATTTTTTTTGCTCAGGATGGCTTTGGCTATTTGGGGTCTTTTATTGTTCCATATGAATGTTTAGATTGTTTTTTCTATTTCTGTTAAGAATGTTATTGGAATTTTCATGTGGATTGCATTGAATCTGTAGATTGCTTTGGGTAGAATGGACATTTTCATAATGTTAATTCTTCCAATCCAAGAGCACAGTATGTCTTTCCACCATTATGTGTCCTGTTTAATTTCTTTCAGCAGAGTTTTGTGGTTTTTATTGTACAGATCTTTCAGCTCCTTGGTTATACTGATTCGTAGATTTTTTTTTTTTTTGGTAACTATTGTAAATGGACTTGTTATCTTTATTTCATTTGCTGCTAGTATGTTATTGGAGTATAAAAACACTATTGATTTTGTGGTATTGATTTTGTGTCCTTCAACATTACTGCAATTGTTAATCAGCTGTACAGGTTTTTTGGTAGAGTTTATAAATATTTCTATATGTAAGATCATGTCATTAGCAAAAATGGGCAGTTTGATCTTATCCTCTACAATCTTAATGCCCATTATTTCTTTCTCTTTCCTGATTGCTCTGGTTAATACTTCCAATTCTATGTTAAATAGGAGTAGTGAGAGTGGGCACCCTTGTCTTGTTCCTGTTCTTAAGGGAAAAGCTTTCACCTTTTCCCCATTCAGGATGAAATTGGCAATTGGTCTGTCATAAATTGCTTTTACTGCATTGAGGTAATTTCCTTTTATACCTAATTTGCTGAGAGTCTTTATCATGAAAGGACGTTGAAGTTTGTCAAGTGCCTTTTCTGCATCAATTGAGGTAATCATATGATTTTTGTCTTTGGTATTGCTGATGTGGTGTATCACATTTATTGACTTGCATATGCTGAGGCAACCTTGCATCCCTGGGATGAATCCCATGTTATCATAGTGTATAATTGTTTTGATGTGTTGCTGTAATCTGATTGGTAGTATTTTGTTGAGGATTTTTGTATCTATGTTTATCAAGGATATTGGCCTGTAATTTTCTTTTTTTGTTGTATCTTTATCTGGTTTTGGTATCAGGGTGATGCTGACCTCGTAGAATGAGTTTGGAAGAATGGCTTCTGTTTCAAATTTTTGGAAACGTTTGAAGATATTTGATATTAATTCTTCTTTAAAGATTTGATAGAATTCAGCTGTAAAGCTATCTGGTCCTGGACTTTTTCTTTGTTGGAAGATTTCTAATTACTGCTTCAATCTCATTGCTTGTTATTGGTCTGTTC